CTGCTCCCTCCCTCTCCTCTCTCTCTCTCTCTCTCTCTCTCTCTCTCTGCCTTTCTCTATCTCCCATTCCCTCCCTCACACTCCCCTCTCTTACACTCTCCTCTCCCTTACACTCTCCTTTACTCACATTTTCCCTATCTCACACATTCTCTCTTTCCCACATTCTCTATGTCTCACACTCTCTTCCTCTCTCTTTCTCTCTCCCATACACTCTCTCTCTCTCTCTCTCTCACACTCTTTTCCTCTTTCATTCTCTCTCTCACACTCTTCCCCTCTCTCATTCTCTCTCTCACACTCTCTCACTCACACTCTCTTTCTCAGATTCTCTCTCTCTCCCATCTTTTCTCTCTCACACTCTCTCTCCCTCACTCCCTCACTCTTTCTCCCTCTTCCTCTCTCCTTCGTACATTCTCCCTCTCACACTCCCTCTCTAACACACTCCCTCTCTCACATTCTCTTTCTTACACTCTCCCGCACTCCCTCACTCACTCTCTCCATCTCATTCTCTCTCTCACATTCTCTCCCTCTCACACTCGCTCTCACGCACACTCTCTCTCTCACACTTCTCTCTTTCTTTCCCGCACTCTCTCTCTCCCTCTCTCGCCCTATCTTGCCCCCTCTGTCTTTCTCTCCCACTCTCCCTCTCTCTCTCTCTCTCTTCCTCTCTCTCTCATTCTCCCTCCCTCGCACTCTCTCTCACACACTGTCTCTCTCACACTCTCACACAATGTCTCTGCCACAATCTCTCTCATACTCTCTTTCTCATACACACCTTCTCTCTCACACTTTCCCTCCTCCACGTTCTCCCTCTTTCTCTCTCACTCTCTCTCTCACACACACTCTCTTTCTCAGATTCTCTCTCTCCCATCCTTTCTTTCTCACACTCTCTCCCTCACTCTCTCTCTTTGTCTATCTCTCTCTCTCCTTCACACATTCTCCCTCTCACATTCCCTCTCTAACACACTCCCTCTCTCACATTCTCTCTCTCACACTCTCCCTCACTCTCTCACTCTCTCTCTCTTCATCTCATTCTCTCCCTCTCTTTTTCACACTCTCCCTCACGCGCACTCTCTCACTTTCTCTCTTTCTCTCCCACACACACTCTCTCTCTCCCTCTCGCCCTCTCTGGCCCCCTCTGTCTTTCTCTCCCATTTTCTCTCTCACCCCTCCTTCTCTCTCTCTTCCTCCCTTGCACTCTCTCTCTCTCTCTCTCTCACACTCTCTCTCTCTCACACTCTCTGTCACATACTCTCACACAATCTCTCTCTCACAATTTCTCTCTCATACTCTCTTTCTCACACACTCTATCACACTTTCCCTTCCCCTCCCCCTCTCTCCCTCGCTCTTTCTAACTCTCTCTCATACACACACTCTCTCTCTCTCTCTCTCTCTCTCTCTCTCTCTCTCTCTCTCTCTCTCTAAATTCTATATGATTAAGAAATCAGTTGGATTCACATGCCGCTATTACTTTACTTTATTTTTCGAATTAAATTGCACTCCATGAAATTAAATATTACGTAATTCACGTTCTGATTTCCTAATTATAATTAATTAAACGTTATATTAATATGTATACAATTACCTGATGTAATTTGATATTCAAGCAAAAAAAACGACTGCCGTAAAAATGTCGAACTGTAAAGAACATTGATAGTAGCAGTAAAACATATAACCTCTCTTTCCCTCTTCCACTCTCCTTCCACTTCCTTTCTCTCTCTCTCTCTCTCTCTCTCTCTCTCTCTCTCTCTCTCTCACACAATCTCTCACATTCTCTCCCTCTCACACTCTCACTCTCTCATACTCCTCCTCTCTGACATTCTCTCCCTCACACTCTCCTCTCTCTTACACTCGTTCTCTCTCTCACACTCTCTCTCTCACACAATCTCTCTCTCATACTTTTTCTTTCTCTTTCTCACTCTTTCTCTCTTACACTCAGTCTCTCTCACGCTGTCCCTTTCTCACACACTCTCTCCCCCTCTCACACACTCTCTTTCCCTCTCATACACTCTCTCTCTTTCTTTCACACTCAATCTCTCTCTCTCTCTCTCTCTCACTCTGTCACTTTCCCTCTCACTCTCTCACTTTCACACACACACACTCTCTCTCACACTCAATCTCACTCACACTCCCACACGCACACGCACGCACGCACGCACGCACGCACGCACGCACGCACGCACGCACGCACGCACGACACACACGCACACACATACACGCGCGCGCGCGCACATGCACACGCATACGCATACTTTCCCTCTCACACACATTAAAAAACTATTATATATATGAAAGATGTAACCTGATAAAACCCGCAGCTGTCATTCACCGCGATGACAGCCACAAACGACATGAATCCGGCCGCAAATAATATCCTTCAGACTACACGAACATTATTATTTTGATCATTTTGATTTCTTTGATAATCATTAAGAATTATCCAGAACGCAACTGCCATGTTAAACGACTCAATTGTGAAATGTTTTGATTTTCACAAATTCATATAAAATTTTTCATTTTTCACTAATTCACAGAAGTCTTTCACTTTTTATTAGTTCACGCTAGGGAAAAGATTCATGATCGCTGCCTTGAGCAGCTGCAACGCTTCTCCAATCATCTATGTTGACGCGCTTCTACTCCTCAGATTTCTGTCATTAATAACTCGATAATTATTGCGAATCTCACAAAATGGTATGGGACTTTTATGTTTGTCTCAACCCAATCTACCCTCACACTTCGGATTGGCAACTAATTACCGGACACTTCGTATGATCTTCATGATACTAATCATACACAATGTCAATTCTTTTTTTTGGCACATATTACTACCATGTACTACATATTATTACCATGTTAATTCATGTTATAAACGCATAACAATGTGCGAGACCGTGCTTGTCAAGTACGCTATTATGGTTATAGCGGACATAAACTGCCTGAAAATGCATGTAGCACGGACTGTCACCACATGCAGGTTTTACCGCCAAAATCTGAAAGTGGATGTACGTAGCATCGTAGTTCCTCTCTCAAAATGGATGCAGATGTCGCTCTTTCCCAGTGCGTAAAGTTGGTGTCGCCGAAAACGCCGTGTTGGCCGCTCTCACATTCCTCTCTGGTAATAGTCTAATTATATATAATAATCAGCAAGAAAGAGAGAGTGTGAGTGTGTATATATGTCATGTGTGTGGGACACGCGATGATGATACGCTATTGAGTCGACGTTTATACTCTGCTGCTAGTTTTCTCCCACTCTATCAGTGCGGCTGTAACTATGCTCTGTTAGTGCAGTATTCTGTTACTTGGTATGTCCCACTCGCGCTGGCTGTTCAAGCAGTTTGAAGTGTTTAAAGGTTTCGTATGGTTTCGTACTAATAGCTGAGGAATAAGCGAGATTACCTAGAATCGGCGAATTGGTGACCAAGGAACATAGTTTTTTGTTGTAAAATTAATCCAACGTAAAATCACGACAATCTATCAATATCAGCGATGGCAGCGGTCTTTGATATTGAACTACAGGATGCGGAGAGCTTACTCCCTCACAGAGACGAATCGGAGGATGACGATATTATCGAGATTAATTCGGTAATACATTCTTACTTGCTCGGGTTTTGCTATATAGTCAAAAACTTCCTACAAAAAAATCTGCAGGTGAATATCATTTTATTAACTATGTATATTTCTCTTTTTGTAGGTAGAGTATGACGCCGATCCAAACGTGAATGAGATTGTAAAGTGAGTAAACTTATATGCTACCTGGTATGTCGCACATGCGACCGTCTTTGTTATTGTTTTTACTGTTTGAATATAAAAAAAGCTAACAAAAATATTATATTTTTGTATCTAATCAGGTCAGATAATGTAGAAACAGTCGCGATATCGGAACAAAATGTCAACCTTGGACGCGAGAGAGTTGGACCACAAGATTTTGAGTTATGCAAAGTTATTGGGAAAGGTGGCTATGGCAAAGTTTTCCAAGTACGCAAAACAACTGGAAATGACAGTGGCACTATCTTTGCTATGAAGGTACTGATATATATCTTTGAAATATTACAATTACTATGCATATTTTTATTTAAATATTTTGAGTAAAAATAATTACAACAGTGAAAATAAATAAGTAATAAATACAGTTGTATTATTTGTGATATTTTTACATGTTAATATTATAATCAATGTTTTTTATGTATTTTATATTTTTTCTGTTATTAAATATTCTACACATAATGTATGCATTTAATATGTGATATATTTATTCAGGATATACATGAGTTTGTATTACAACTTTTTACTATACAATCTAGTATTACCGATGGCATTGTATTTAATTGAGTTACATATAGATATTGCATATATTGCATTATGAGCAAATTCAGGTAACTTCTCGGCTTTTTGAGCTAAGATTCTAGTATGAAAAAGTATATATACTTAACATGGTAATGTATTATAAAAATGTACAAAATAACATTATGTGAGTCTTAAAATTGTTTCTGCTACAAGTGTAATTTTTGTGGCCATTTTTATATTTTTATAATGTATTACCATGTTAAGTACCTATACTTTTTAGTACTAGGATCTTAATTCAAGCAGCTGAGGAGTCAATCATCTAAATTTGGTCATAATGACATAATATGTGCAATATCTATATGCAATTTAATTAACTACAATGCCATTGGTAATCGTGGTTAAATCGTGTAGTAAAAAGTTGTACCATGAATTCATATACACCCTGTATATGTAGAAAACTTACAGCTTTTTCTATGCTTATACTTATAAATAATTTCATTATTTACTAGAAGTTATATATAACATACATAATACTTACAGATCTTTATATATATATATATATATTATATATAAATATTTCTTATTTATAAATTTCTATATTTATGAAATAGAAATATAATTAATTAGCTTTTATATTATCTTTTGACTAGTAATATTGAACTTAAAATTTTTTATATTCATTTTTAGATTCTATAAATGTTCTTACCAATAATTTTATTTAAAATTTTACCTGATATATATATGTATTTATCACTTAAAATAGGTTTTACGCAAGGCTTCGATCATAAGAAATCAGAAAGATACAGCTCATACTAAAGCGGAAAGAAATATTTTAGAGGCTGTAAAGGTCAGTTATATTTTTATCCACTTGAAAATTGAATTACAATTAGTTCAAAAACACAATTTTTAATAGTATTTTATAAAATATAATTAAGAATTCAAATATTGTTAACTAAGTCTCGAAAAAAAGCTTTTCGTGATTAGTTTGTCTATTATTTATATTTCATACAAAATACCAATTTATGTATTTATGCTTGCATTTGCCAGCATCCTTTTATCGTAGATCTCAAGTATGCATTTCAAACTGGTGGCAAGTTATATCTGATATTGGAATATATGTGTGGTGGTGAGCTTTTTCGACATTTAATAGATGAAGGAATTTTTTTAGAAGATACTGCATGGTAAGTAAATTATGCAGATATTTTAAATTATAATCATATAATATATTTGTTTAATATAGTGTATTTCTTATATTATTTATTTTACAGCTTTTACTTATGTGAAATTATATTGGCTCTACAACATCTACATTTACAAGGCATTATATACAGGTGTCATATTTTTCTAATAACATATTTGTGTATGTGCATCAAGCATTTAATTGTAATCTCAGCAATCAATATAAATGTATCAAATATTTGATCTAAACGGGACTGATCTGATAATATTCTAATTAACAAATTATTGTAGAGATCTAAAACCAGAAAATATTCTATTGGATGCAGAAGGTCATATTAAATTAACTGATTTTGGATTATGTAAAGAGCATATACAAGAGGGCACAGTTACACATACATTCTGCGGTACTATTGAATATATGTAAGAACTATAAATATTCCACTATATATAACGTTTTTTTCTTTGCTCAGAAGTCAATTATATATTAATCATTAATTTATTATCCCAACTAAGGGCACCTGAGATTTTAACTAGAAGTGGACATGGAAAAGCAGTAGACTGGTGGAGTTTGGGGAGTTTAATGTATGATATGCTAACAGGATCTGTATGTATTATTGTCAATACATTAACAAATATTCAAAATCTATATTAACAAATATTCAAAATCTATAACAAAAAGTTCTTCATATTATATTATTTATTATTACCAATTCTTTAGCCACCATTTACTTCTGAAAACAGAAAAAAAACTATTGACAAGATTCTACGTGGAAAATTGATTCTTCCGCAATATTTGACTCCTGATGCTAGAGATCTCGTTCGGAAATTGTTAAAAGTTAGTATTTAAAAATAAGCCTTTTTTTTTATAAACATATCCTAAGATCAGTATCTTTTTTTTTCTTATTAAACAATTAAAGGTATGTAATTCTGTACATCAAATATATGTAGAATATAATCATCTCCCATATAGAGACAAGTTGCACAAAGGCTAGGCTCTGGTCCATCAGATGGTGAACAAGTAAAAACTCACCGATTTTTTAAGCATATCAATTGGGATGATGTAATATCTCGAAAATTAGAACCACCATTCAGACCAACATTGGCTAGCGAAGATGACGTATCACAATTTGATAAGACATTTACTACTTCTGCACCAATAGATTCTCCAGCTGAATGTACGTTAAGTGAATCAGCTAATAGGGTATTTCAGGCAAGTTTTCTCTTTTTATTTACAATATAATATAAGACTATAATGAATTTATATATATATATATGTTTATATATGAAAGAGAGGAAGGAGAAGGAGGGATTGAGGGGGAGAGAGGGGGGAAGGAGGGCTGAAAGGAGAGGGAGGAGAAATTTTGTATTATATATTCCAGATATTGTCATGAAATTTACATGTATATCTTATATTTAAGACTGCGTTCCGAAATTTACTGCCAGTACTGAAAATACATAGTTTGTGTCACGTATACTATAGATTTTCAGTATTAGCAGTGAATTTTGGAACGCAGCTTGAATCTAAATGTTAATGTACATATAAAATATTCTAGTAAGTGTAGATTTTTCCAAATATTTTATGTGGAATATACATGTAAATTTTTTTATATTATTTTACAATTGCTCTTTATATTTACTGAAGTTATATAGGCATATACGATTATGCAGTAATAATGTAATTTTTTTTTAGGGATTTACATACGTTGCACCAAGTGTTTTAGAAGATATTAATTCACAACCGCGAGTTATAAAAGCAAGAAGTCCTCGTAAAGCGACTATGCGAGGTTTTTCACCCCGAACCACGCATTTCCATTTTCATAATACACATTTACAAAATCACAGGTTAGAAATGTAAAAGTTATAATCATATCTATTTCCAATTATACAAAATTATTTATATAAAATATTTACATAAAAAATCACGTAAAAAAATTTTAAATTAATAATATGAATAAACTAATCTAATAATAAGCAAGGTACTGATGCATAAATGTAGTATGTACAGTACTGGACAAAAATAAATTCTTAAAGCATCTTGAACATTTTTACATTTGCGTGAATAATTCAGCAATCTTGACAGATAGAAAATAAATATATTGGGACAAAAATAAAGTTTCATAGTCAATTTTTAAGTTTTAAATAAAAAAATTCAAAAATATTGAAAAAATCTTTCAATAGTTAAATTCATTACATTTATTATCATATTTATCTTGGATAAAATAAAGTGCACTGGAACTTTTATTTAATTTTACTAGTAAAAATATGTAGACTATCTCTTGGTACTTGGTGCTTGGAAATAAGAGGAACTATATAAATAAATGTGTTAACAATTACATTCTGTTAGTTACTGGTGTTAGAAAGAGTAATATATTGATTTTTCACCAACAACTATGGAAACTAAACAAATTCGAAACTTGATAGATAGATAAAGACTGGCAGGAGACTTTCCAAAATAGGAAAATCGGTTGAAAGTATAGCAGAAAGTATAGCAAGTGAAACTGAAGTCAGAAAGATCTAGCAAAAATTTCTGGAACTCAGCATAGTAACAAATAAGACCGATCACAAATAGTAGAGGAAGACAAATTCAGTCGAGGATTATAGGATTATCCAAAAAACAGAAAAATCCGACTGCTATTAGTTGTATAATCCGGGAAATTGTTCATCTTAATATTTCCGAATGAACTATATACAGGAAACTCCGGGAAGTTGGGTTGAAGAATAATTTTGCATTGCGTCCTTTGATCTGAAAAGCTAATGAGATCAAACGTCTAGAATTCATAAAAAAATACGTTGATAAGCTATTGCTCTTCTGGAAGAATGTGATTTGGAATGATGAAAATAAGTTTAACCACTTCGATCATAAAAAATGACTGCGGGTTTGATTAAAACCTGGCGAAAAACTTATGGATAGAAATGTCCACAAGATGACCATACATGTAGAAAGCAATATTATAGTGTGGGAGTGTCATATGTAGTCAGGTTTGGGAAATTTAGTCAAGATCAATGGTATTATGGCAGCAGACGTACACATCCTCAACGAAAATTTAGACAAGTCTCTGTTAAAAATTGATTGGAAGAATGACTTTATCTTCCAACGAACTAATGATCCAAAACATAACGTTTGTAAAACTACTGTCTTTTTCCATGAATATTAAACTGCAGAATTGGCCAGCGTAATTACCATTTAAACCCAAGATTTAAACTGAATTAAAAATCTGTGGTCTATTTTAGATCTGAAGATTTACACATGCGCGCGCGCGCGCACACACACACACACACACACACACACACACACACACACACACACACGCACACGCACGCACACGCACGCACGCACACGCACACACACACACACGCACGCACGCACGCACACAAGGGCGACGTAAAGAACAAGATCAAGTTCGAAGCCTTAGAAGATGCGTGGAAACATATTGACCAGCAGCACATTCGAAATCTCATCGGAAATAAATCTTAACGTTTGCAAGCAATTATACAAGCAAAAGATGGTCATACGAAATACTAATTTTAAAATCTTTAATTTACTTATTATTACCTGTATACTTTATTTTGTTCAAGGTAAATATGATAATGAATGTAACGGATTTAGCTATTGAAGGATTTTTAATGCTTTTAAAGTTTGTTTTACTTATTTAAAACTTAAGAATATGAAACTTTCTTTTCGTCTGAATACATTTCTTTTCTATCTGTCAAGACTGCTAAGTTATTCACGCAAACGTTAAAAAGTTCGAGGTATACTTTATTTTACCCAATACTGTATATATATAAGGAACATTTTGATTCTTGGTTTAAATTTTTAATATATCAACATTTTATATTAAAACAAAATGATATCAGATAAAAGATAAACAATCATTTGAATAACATCATAAACAATGCAATAAAAGTATAAAGCAAATCAATTAGCATTAACATATGTAAGACATAATATGGTTTCACATGTAAAACTAAAATGCTTCATTTAATTTTTTTCGTTATTGGAAGAAACCCTAATTCTATTTAAAAAATTCATCGAATGCCTCATTTATTACAAACGTCGATGTTTATATTAGAGTTCAAAAAACAATTTCTTGTGTGTAGTTGTAAAATGTTGACATATTAAAATCTACATTAAGTGCTAAAATATTTATCTTAGTATACATACACAGTCTCATATAGTTAAGACGAGTTTTATGAACTTGTTACATTGAAGAGAAGTAGTATAGACAAAAATTGAATGATATTAATAAACTCTATTTTTCTATCTACTTATTTTAACTACTTTATCCGTAAGTACGATTCATTGGAAAACTGCAATTACACTTTTTTAGAATCATATGATGAATCATAAAATGAGACTATATATATAAATATATATATAGGCTTGGAGCTTGTTTATCCAAAGCTAAGATGCTTCTTGAGATGTTGAAGTCCAGCTGTCTTTCCATCTCTTGGATGACCTGCCCGGAGGTCTTCTGGTGTATATTTTTTCATCTCTCGCTTTCCTCGCTAACCTGTCTTTGGTCCTCGCTAACCTGTCGTTGTAGAGACATGGTTATTCCAGTCTCTTCTTTGTCTTGTCCATCTGATGATGTCTTATATGTCGCATATTTCTCTGATTTGTATATTGCATATCCTATCTCTCAAGGTATATCCTGCGATGGTTCTTAGTGTTCCCATTTCGGTGGTTCTGAGCATGTCTTTGATTTTGCGGGTGTCGGCTCTGGTTTCGGCTGCATATGTCATTATGGATCGAACACAGATTTTGTATATTCTGATATTAGTCTTACGGCTTATATATAGTTATTTTTCCAGACTAGTTTATTTAAACACCCCGATATCCTTGATGCTTTATTTGTTTGTTCTCGGACTTCTTGGATTCTGTTCTGGCACGCTGATACCTCAACTCCCAGGTATTTGAATGATATTATTTGTTTATTGTCTCGTTGTTAATTGCCAATTTGAATTGAACGGGTTCTTTTGTCACTACCAGCGATTTTGTTTTTGATACGGAGATCTCCATGTTATATCATTTGACTGTCAGGTGGAATCGATGCAGTATTCTCTGCAGTCCGTCCTCGCTTTTAGAAAGTAACACTGTGTCATCCGCATAACATAATATCTTTATTTCCTCTTTGTTGGTTACATATCCTTTGTCTGCATTCCTTGTTTCTTTTATGTTTTTATCCATGATTATGTTGAAAAGAAGTGGGCTTAAGGAGCCTTTTGTCTTATTCCGGTCGACATCGGTATTTCTTCCGTTAAGATGTTGATGAATATTTGTATTTTAATGTTTGAGTTTAATGTTTCGATTACTCTAATGATTTCTTCTAGAGTGTTTGTTCCTCTCTGGCATCAATAACATCATTGAGTCTGACTCGGTTGAATGCTTTGGTCAGATCTATGAAACACATGACATACTGGCTTATCATATTCTATGAATTTTTCCTATTTGTCATATGATGAATATGGCGTCTGTCGTGGATCTATTCTTCCGAAAAACTTGTTCCTCACATATTGCTATTAGTTCTGTGATTAGCAAGTCAACTATTCGAATGAAGAGCTTCATAACTGCACGTTATGCACATAACTCCTCTATAGTTTTTGGGCCATTTTTTGTCTCCCTTTTTAAATATTGGTACAGTGATATTCTTTTTTTCAGTCGTCCAGGATAGTTCCATTATCTTTTATTTTTTAGTATAGGATTGTATAGTGTTGAAATCAGTTCTTTTCCTTCGTATTTTATTAGCTCGTTATATATCCTGTCAGAACCTGGTGTTTTTCTATTCTTGAACTCTTTGGCAGCGTTTTCTACTATAATCTAGGTGATGCATGTGGCTGCCTCCGGGAGCGGTCTATCTTCTATATTCTGTTGTTTCTCTTCACCATAGAGTCATCTGAAATAGTCTGTCCAGACTTCCCTAACAATGAATTGCACTTGTATTAGGAAGTTGCATTGAAAACCGCTGCTCATGTGTAGATGGTTCTAACTGTGTATGCTGTGGGCAGTGACAAATGTGTCTTATCTCATTTTGAAATGTAAATATTTCCCACTAAAATTCAATCATCAAACGACATCCTTTGCTTGCACAAGTGCTTTTCTATAACTGAATTAAAACGCGATAAATTGTTTTTCTGATGTGTATTTCTACACTACTTTGATTTGAAAAAAAGTGCAGTTGAAGCTCATCAATTGCTTGCGAAAACTTATGGTGAATCTGCTACATCGGAAACAGTATATAGAGTAAGTATATAGAGATTGGTTTCGACGATTCAAAAGTGGTGGTTGTGACGTTCACGGCAAACAGCCAGGTCAATTGAAAAAGTTCGAAGATGAACAACTGCAAGCTTTATTGAAAGAAAACATTCATCTTCAAACACTCAAAGAATTGGCTCAACAGCTCGAAGTCGATAAGTAAATCATTTCAGATGTTTACAAGCTATGGGAAAAGTCCAGAGAAAAGGGAGATGGCTGCCATATGAATTGACCGAAAATGTCATTGCTAATCGTTTAAACATCTCGATTTCTCTGATTGCAAGGCATAAAAAGAAGAGTTTCTCGTAGCGTGGTGACCGGCGATGAGAAATGGATTTATTTCGACAACCCGAAACGCAAGAAATTATGGGTTGATCCTAGCCAACCATCAATGTCGACACCAAAACGAAATATCCACGGTCACAAAGCAGTTTTCTACTTGGTAGGATATGGAGGATATTGTGATTATAATCTGTTGAAATTGAACGAAACAGTCACCTCCGAACATTATCAACAACAATTGGAAATGATAATTTGATGCAAAAACGACCATCAGTTGTATCAAATCGCCGAAAAATAATTCTTCTCCATGACAAAGCTCACAAGGGGAGGACGCATCGACCGGGAAACGGTTTGGAACGAAACTTACGGAGTTAATAGTACTTGACTACTAATAACTCATGGTAATAGCATACGACGCAATACCTCTTCGTTTTCGAGAAAAAACGGTCTAAAGAAAAGAGTCAACAAAGTGTACGAGTTAGTAAGAAGGATATTTAACGAAGCG